CACAGACGCACACCACGTCCTGCTCCTGCCCCTTGTGCCGGTCGACACGCCGCCCCGCTCCATGCGGTCCGTGGTCCATCGTCGCCTCGCATGCGCTCCCCTCCTCTCCTTGCGAAAACGCACCGACAGGTGGACCCTACACTACTCTTGCCCTCGCCGCCCTGCACGGATGGCATCCAGCTGCCTGTCGCTGCCCCATTGTTGCTGGAGAAGGAGCGGAAGCACGATAGCGTCATGGAGGGAAAGGTGGTACAAGGACGCCTGGTTGGTGGTCACCACCGACGACAACAGCAGCACAACATTCAGCTTGAAGCCAAGGTTGAGGCCACCACCACACCGACATCCTGCTCCTCCACCAGAGGCGGAGGTGACCCCGTCTTCCTCATTGCTCGCACGATTGAATTTGAAAATCTAGGCAGGATCTGGGGGTACATTCCTACTGTCGAGTCTGTGTTTTTCTATTTTTCATTGTCAGAGCTTAGCATTTGTACTTGGAAAATTTCCAGGCTCTCCCCCTTCTGATGAAGGCAATCGAGCATCAGGAATTCTGGGACCTTATTGACCCTAGGATGGAAAACAAGTTCAATGAAAATGAAAATACATTCATCATTCTGCAACGATGAGACCACGTATGGGGCAGGTAACATGATTGCAACACTTGTTCCCCATTCCTGAACAACGAACAGCAAAGGATCAGAATGTGACCTTGGCCCATCTCCCAGGTGGTTAGATCACTATACAAGTATATAGTTTAGCAGACTCTCTTCAGGATGGTTTTCACATTCAGTAATTTATTTTTTCAGTTCTTGCCGTACTCGAATCAAAAGGCTATCCAAGGTCAAATGTATGCTTTCGATCAGGTGTTGACTGACTCAGTCATGTGTTGAACTATCGATTGAATCAAAATGCTTTCTAAAGGACTTGGATTACTCATGTATTGAGCTGTTGATTGAGTCCATGGTCGAGTTTAGTTTTGCTTGATCTCGGATTCACATCAAGTGGAACTTGAGGCTGATAAGTGCAGTTAAATAATATTTTGACCATGTTGGTTCATGTAGATTATATACATCCTGAGGCCTCTCATCTTATTTTTTTCCCATTAACAACAGACATTAAGATTTTTATTTCTTTGATTCCATTTTACCATAGTACACTGCATGCTTCGTCGACCACACCTCCAACAGGTCGCACTAACCACTAAGCAGCAAGCATCTGAAGTCACATATAATTTGTTTTTTCCATCAATAATGTTCAGATTTAAAATGCCTGTGGTATACAAATTTTCAGAGGAAAATTGGTCCAATCTATATTCATGTATAAGTTCATGTTTATCTCCAAGACCCTACTAGTCAGGAGTCAGGACAACTCTGAGTCACATTTGTTCCATCGATATTCTACATTTGATGATAGTCCTTGTTGGATATTTGTTCTATTAGCAGCATGATTTTACTTCCTATGTAGAATTTCTTTTTGTGTCCTCTACTCTTATGCAATTTCAATGTTCATCACTCTTGCTTCAGTGTAATACCATAACGATGCACAATTAACTTAGAAGATATACCGGCTCATCTCTATAGATTGCCATTCTGCATTGAAGTTCATTTCTAAGGTGGAAAGCAGGGATGGTATCCTTAGAAATAATTCCAAGTTCCACCATTTGTGAAGGGAGGTGTTCCTGTGGAGATTACTGGTGATTAATGAGCTGCTTGGTTCCATGGCTCAGCACTGTGATGCCTTGCCGAACGAGGATAATGAGCAGGTAGATGTGTTGGGTTCTCCCACCTAAGTGCATGCTTTGTTGACTGTGTGAGCGAGATTATATCCTCACTCGCGAGGGAGAGCCAAATCGGCTCACTCATCTGGGCAAGCTCCTCGTTGACTGTGCGAGCACAGCAGGCAAGGCGAGGCAGGACCTCGCTGGGAACCAAGCAACCACTAAATCTTAGCCATCACTTGTTTTGGCATTAGAAAGGATATAGATGTCATACTTCAATTGCTGCCTGCTGATTGTTCGCAGTGCTTGAACCATTATTACCTGTGAGCCTGTGACTTGTGTGTCTGATATTAGTTCATAGGTGGATAGAGATTTTCCGTGGACTTCTTTTGTAAACAGAAATAGTGGTAGTAGTACCCCAGAAAAAAATTACTGCAAAATTTCAGTGGTTTGTTGCTCAATCAGCTTAAAATTCTGTATATGCAGGGTTGTAAAGAAAAAAAAAGCAGTACATTTGCATGTTTGAAGAGGACATAGGACAAGGAGAGACTTCTGGTACTGTATTTTCATTTTTGAAATAAGTAATACTTCAATGAATTGCACGTATGATTTATACTATATTTATTCCTGATCTATAGCTTTGTCCTCGCAGATGAATACTTGAACTATAACAAATAGCTTGGTTACAAAGTGTACTCAATTGAATTTCTAAGAAGATAGTCCCGGTGCCAGCATTGAGATCTCTTCTCTTTTGTGCAGCCTCCGTCGGCGGGTTCAAACAATTCCGCTGCTGTGTCACCGGCGGCTGATCGCGTCAACCCTTCGCCGCAGTCCGGTCCTTCACCGCAGTCCGGGGGGCCACACCTGCAGTCTCCGTCGCCGCAGTAGGGATGTTGAACTTTGTGATGTTGAACTTGTAATAATAAACTTGTGATGTTGAACTTTGGTGCATTTGTGATGGATTTTCGATGGATTTATTAAATATGCGTGTGCTTGTGATATATAATGCATGTTGGTGATATAGATGTGATGATTGATGTATATATATATATATAGTGTCTATTACAATAGAATGTAAAAAAATTTGCAATTCTCGGGGTCTTTGTCGAGTGCCATGGGCAAGGCACTCGGCAAAGATTTTTCAAAAAAAAATATATATATATAATTTCTTTGTTTAGTGTTTCTGCTTGCAGAACACTTTCGGCAAAAGTTTTTTTTTTTAAAAAAAATTCTGAAATTCTTTGCCGAGTGCCTAAACAGAGGCACTTTCGGCAAAAGAAATTATTTTAAAAAAAAAAAAAACTTTGCCGAGTGTTCAGGCGGGGCACTTTCGGCAAAATAATTTTTTAAAAAAATAAAAAAACTTTGCCGAAAGTGCCTAGGCGGGGCACTCGCAAAAAGTACTTTTTAAAAAAATAAAAAAAAAACTTTGCCAAGTGCCTGGGCTGAGGCACTCGGCAAAGTAATTTTAAAAAAAAAATTTGCCGAGTGCTGGGTCGGGCTCTTGGCAAAATAACCGTTAACGGTCGGCGCCGCAACGGCCGAAAATATTTTGCCAAGTGCCGCCCCAAGCACGTTTTTTTTTTTTTTGCCGAGTGCCCGGATAAAAAGCACTCAGCAAAGACCCTTTGCCGAGAAAAATTTTGCCGAGCGGACTTTGCCGAGTGCTACACTCGACAAAACCTTTGCCGAGTGCAACACCTCCAGTAGTGATCATGTTGTAATGTCATTTTGTATTTGGTAATGTTACCTAGAATTGTGGAAACTTAGAAACATATTTGTGTTCATCTAATTTCATATTTGCCATGTTTTTTTATCAATTACTGGTGTTTTCATATTTTTTTTAATAAAAACGCTATCCGGCATAGCGCTGCATAGCTTTTGGAAAAAAAAAATTGCCGCTATTTTCAATAGCCCGCTATTTTAAACATTGATCCTATTCTATTTTGTGTGCTCCGGCTCCACCAACGGGAGCTACTGTTTACTGAAATCACCTCTTATTTATGAAATTTGTGGTGGCGCTGTGCAAACACGATAGACAGCGAGCCAAGAAGAGATTTTGCCTCCTCTACGGTCCAAATTGGTGCAGTGATCCTACACCGTTAATCTCGGATGGAATGGTACAGTGGTGCATGTTTTTCTGGCTAACGTGGATGCCCTGTACTCCGCAGGAGCCTGAACTGAAATGTAGAGTTTCTGATGCGATTGCCTATGATGGTTTCTCCCCTAGCCCAATCTAATCATTGCCTTAGGTTTTGTGCTCATACTTGCTTATGATCGTTGCTTGTGATGTCAATAACACATAGTTGTGCAATCTAAGCTTCTGTTTATTGCCCGTGAAGTGATAGATATATTCTTTTGATTCTACACTTGTTATCACTGTCCGTCATCATTGCCTGTGATGTTAGGTTATACACTCTTGGTTTTGAGCACACACCCTATTTCCAGATATAACATTGTCAGACACTTTGCTTGTTTGTGCTCACTTTTGCTTCTCATGTTTCTTTCAATTCTCGCTGCAACTATGCGCACTGCTCATATAGGTTCGGTTTAACAGACGCATTCTTTTTCTAATTTCCCGATAGTGTCATTAGCTTTCTAATACCAATATTACCTATACATGATATATCCCCACAAAGCTGCATGTACTGCTCTGGTTACAAGGGAACTGTTTATCAAAGATTCAAAATATATTCTATTATATTGGTTGTTGTATCAGTTTGTTTTGGCTTTTGGGGTAAAGCAAATTTAGGTTCCAGTTTTCATAAAAAAATGATGATAGTGGAGGGTTTTCCAAAGGTGAATTGAAAATCATGAAACGAGGTACGTACTTCTCTCCGATTACTGCAATGATATGTTGATTCTGATTGTTTGTTAACACATTTTGATTGTTTGTTAACACCTTCTGAATGATTTGTTGGCAACTACAGTGTACCATGTTCCTCTTTTCCTCCGTTAACCAAAAATGTAGAGAGGACCTATCATAATCCTTTTTGTCCAATAGCGATTTATTGCTCTTTGACTAAAAAAGAGTAGTGTGTTACCTCCATGATCATTTGGCAATCTTAACAGTCCTGCAACAATAATGATGTATATGGCATCGCTACATTGACAACTTACCGAAACAGCTTCCTGCCAACCTGTGTCAGATCACAGGTAGATGGCAGTCAAGTGAGCAGAGTAACAAAGATATCACATTCAGCCTGCCTAAGATTGCATCATATGGTGACATTGCCACAGTCCACCCTCGCGACGGGACAAAGAAAACTACTTTAGCAGCACAAACATGAAAAACGCTGAAACTATTGTTTCCTCATATATTCGAAAGAGACTAGCCCAACAGGTCCTACTGCTTAGCACAAAGATACCTGACTTGAAGCTTCGTCAATTCCAAACAGAAGTGATCAAGGTTAGTCCTCAATCTCTACATATCTCCGTCTAACCAAACGAAATCAAATCAAATTCACAACTATATCAAATTCTAATATCACAATTGTTTCAGTTATGAAAGCAGCACAAAGAAACCTGACTTCAAGCTTCCTCAACTCCAGGCAAAAGAGATCAAGGTTTGTTCTCAATCGCAGATCTTTTAAAGCCTCATATGTCTTTTGCTATGGGAACAAGATCACTTTGGGTTGCTTTTGGTCATGATGTACTCCATTTGTCTAGCACTACTGCCTCAAATAAGTGAACAAATGGTCTCATGCATTGTACACATGTTCAACTAATACGAATGCTCATTGCAGCGCATTCACCAGCGGCTCGCGGCCAGTCGGGGCGGCGGCGTCGGTTGGGTTGACTGCGGCGGCGGCCTGCCGCCGGCGAGGCTCCCCAGGTGTCGCGCCTCCACGGGAGAGTAGCCATAGAAGAGAGAGGGAGCGAAGGGAGAGGAGAGAGAGAGAGAGCGGAGGAAGAGGAGCTACCACGAGTGCTGCCACCACTGCTCCTGCTCATGTTGCGGCTTCCGTGAGCCGCTGCTACTCGTGCCCGCGGCGTGGCGGCGGCCTGCTCTGTTTCGCGGTGCTGAGCGGATCTCATTTCCCCGTTGAAACCCACCCCTCCCATCGGGTTGAGATTTCACAATCCAAATCCATCTTCATTTCTTTTTCCCACCATCCAAACAAGAAATAAAATCTATCCCACAAGCTATTTCCCTATCCCAGTGCCCATTTTCCACCAACCAAACGGCACCTAATTAAAAAACCATCACCGGTTGTTTAACACAGCTCTGATATATGTTTGCACACGGTCAACCCATTTTGCCAGCAACCTAAGGTTGCACATGGATCCTGCGCATAACTATTCACATGCCCATTTAGCTAGGATCGCTAGTGGATATGGTGTGATCCTTTCTAACTTTTTTTAAGAGTCCAAAAGACCAAATGCAAAGGAGGTAGAACCAATAATCATACACACGACAAGATCACTTAAAAATAAACAAGCAGCACGTATATAATCATACACACGACGGTGATTGACGCCATCAAGCAGAAGGTCGGCACCGACGCCTCCTGCGCCGACATCGTCACCTTCGCGGCGCGCCACGTGGCCGACATCCTCAGCGGCGGCAAGATCTTCTGCACCCTCCCCGGCGGGGCACATCGTCACCTCTCGTCCGCTGCGGCCGCGGACGCCAACCTCCCGCACCCCAACTTCGACTTCGACCAGCTCAGGGACAACTTCGACGCGACCAGCCGAGGCAGGAACTTCACCGTCGAGGAGCTCGTCGTCCTGTCCGGCGCGCACTCCATCGTCGTCGCTCACCTCTCGTCCTACCAGGACCGCCTAGGGGGGCCCGACTCCACGCCCATCGACTCCGACTACCAGGCGGCGCTTAACAAGACCACGCCTCTGGCGTTGCTCAAGAGTGGGCAGAACCCGACGGTGCCGAACAACGCTCGCGACGGGAGCGACGCGTTCCAGAAGGACGCTGCCTACGACCCCGTGGCCATGGGGGTGAACCCGAAGAGGGGCGTCCTCGACAACAGCTACTACCACAACAACCTCGTCAACAAGGTGCTCTTCAAGTCCGACTGGGTGCTACGCACGGACGGCTTCGCCGCCAGCAAGCTGGATGAGTACAAGAACAACCCGGCGGAGTGGAATTCCGACTTCGCCGCCGCCATGGCCAAGCTCAGCAGCCTGCCAGCCCAGGGAAACAAGTTGGAGATCAGGAAGAACTGCAGGGTCCCCAACCAGTACCAGACGATCGAGGCAGTCGCTTCAGCCTTCAGCGACCACTACGGGGAACAGGGTCTTTGCCGAGTGCAACTTTTTTTTTATCGAGGGCTAAAAATCGAGCACTCGACAAAGAGATATTTTGCCGAGTGCTGCATTCGGTAAATATATATACTCAGCAAAGAAGGCTTTGCCGAGTGTCAGGCACTTAGCAAAGCTAGACACTCGGCAAAGGCCCTTTTTGTCGAGTGTCAGGTACTCGGCAAACTTTGGCGCTCGGCAAAAAACGGCATCAGGTAACGGCCGTCGCCTGCCGTCTAGGTTTGTAAGCATCGTACGTGATAACTTGCATCAAACTTTCTAAAATTTTTATCACATCCTCCACATACGATATCATGACATCTCGACAAGTTTCATGATTTCCAGATTTCGTTTGTATTTTATAGAATTTAAAAACAATTCATCCATAAGTTTGTGGTCATGTTTCATAAACAAGATGTTCGAAATTTCGGGTCCGTTCCTGGATACGGCCTCACACTACACTCAATACCATGAATATCATTTTTTGAATCATTAAATTCCATTATTCGATGCACGTGCAGTTCAAATTTGCATTTTCCGAAAAAATTCAAATAAATGAAATAAATATAGTAAACAATTCGGGAAATGTACTAAATTTCGACATAGAGTACCAAGTACTGTGTAAGAGGATTATAGAAAAAGTTTGGAGATCAAAATACAAAAAAAAATTGGTTTGCCGAGTGTCATCTTTTGACACTCGGCAAATATGCTCTTTGCCGAGTGCCAGATGGTAGGCACTCGGCAAAGTGTTCCTTTTCCGAGTGTTCGTGTGGACACTCGGCAAAGAGCGTGCCAATTTTTTTCTAAATGTTTGCCGAGTGCCTCTCCACCCGGCACTCGGCAAAGTGGTAATTTTGTTTTTTTTAAATACGATGGAGTGCGGTTTAGGGTTTAGATTTAAAAAAAGGAAAAAATCTTTGCCGAGTGTCAGATCGGGACACTCGGTAAAGAGCCCGTACATTAAACAAACCGACAGCCAGCCACTTAGAAAAAAGGCCACGCCCGTGCCATAAGCGATCACGCCACACCACTCACTCACACCACCACCACAGCCCCGCACGCAGCTCCCCCTCCGCCGCCCCCCCCAGCAGCCCTCCCAGCCCTCCCAGCCCCCCACTTGCCACACATGCCATGGCAGCGCTAACGCTGCCGCCCTATGGCCGTATGCGTGCCTGCCTTCACGCACAAGACTTCCCGACCCGCTAAACGCCGGCTCTGTCCCCGGCCGTGCCTGCCTTGGTCAGTCCGTGGACCATGGCAAGCCTGACGCCACCCCGCCCCTACCGCCTGCCCGTGTGTATGCCTTCTCTCTTGTTGTTGTCATGGTAGTGATAGTTGTAGTAGTATTAGTTGTAGTAGTAGTGCTAGTGGTAGTAGTAGTAGTAGAACTAGTGGTAGTAGTCGTAGAAGTAGTGGTAGTAGTAGTAGAAGTAATGGTAGTAGTAGTAGCAATAGTTGTTGTAGTAGTAGAACTAGTGGTATTAGTAGTAGCAATAGTGGAAGTAGTAGTAGAAGTAGTGGTACTACTTGGATATATTCTTCTGCATGGATTGATATCCAAACTACATGGCTTCTCTTGAGATATATGTGCTTGTCGGCCATCGTGCCGTTGTTTTTTGCAGGTTTTGGAAACCTCACCGTGCAGGGGAGGTTCTGCCGATTTTTTTAAATGACAGTATTTTGTTCCATTTTTGTAGAGAAGAGCCTGTCGGAGCCGAGTCGAAGTTCCCGTCGCCGTGCTGGTCTGCCTGCACCGCGTCGCCTCGCCACTGCACCGACCCGCCATGGCCCCGCTAGCCTGACTCCACCGCCACCCTAGGTATAACCCCTTTCTATATCATGGTCGTAGATCGCGTAACCCAGTTAGGCATCTCCCGTTCGAAAGAGATACGGTTGAAGGTATGCAGATCTTTGCATATCTATGACCGTATCTGTTTCGGATTGTTCATGTTTTTTGGACAGCCCGCGGATGCGTAGATGGGTTAGTTTCCATGGTCTGCTCTGGTCCGAGACAGAGTTTCGGCATCACCTCCCTGTTGTTCTCCGGATACGCACTCTTGTTTGGCAGGACGTGTATCTGGAGAACAGCGGGGAGGTGCTGCTGAAATTCTATCTCGGATAGGAGTAGAGCATGGAAACTAACCTCATCTACGCATCCACGGGTGGGATTAGGACCTATCCTCACCTATTAGACAGTAGGAACAGCATGTAGATGCAATTGATTGTTACATTACTCGCTGATACATTTGTTAAAGGATGGATGACCGTCAGTGGATGTACACGGGCTGGAGAAGTCAGAGTGCTTACACCACGAAATAGATGAACAAGACCGATGCTTTCTTGAACAGTGCATTTGGCAAGACTGCTAAAGGACATTGCCTAGTTTTGTGTCCCTGCAGCAAATGTGCAAACAGGAGAAGGGTAAACAAGGAGGAAATGGGTAAACATCTTGTGAAGAATGGATTTACGCCAGACTACACCCGGTGGATCCACCATGGTGAAGCCCATCATATGAGAGAGGAGGTGGTGAGACCATGGGTGGAGGCTTTTGATGCTGATGCGGGGGTAGCAGACATGTTAGATGACTTTCACCATGGCCAGTTCGATGATGGATATGAGAAGGAGGAGATGGAGGCAGCCGCACAGGTGTTCTACGACATGATGGACTCATCACAGAAACCCGTTCACGATCGGTCAACGGTGTCTCAACTGGATGCCATTGGACGCTTAATGGGGTTGAAGTCCGAGTTAAACTTGAGTCGAGAAGGCTTCGATAAGATGTTGGCCATGATTGGCACCCTACTTCCGGAGGGCCACATTCTGCCAAAGAGCATGTACGAGTCACAGAAACTCCTTCGTGCACTTAAGATGCCGTATGAGCAGATACATGCTTGTCCCAAGGGCTGCGTCCTATTTAGGAAAGAACATGAGCATGTGAAGTTCTGTCCAAAGTGTAAATCCTCCAGGTACCTGCTACATGCATCAATTATAAATAATCTGTATTTTTAGCATATCCCTTTAATTCCTAAATTAAATTTAATTAATCGTTTACTAGCTACTTACGGCAGGTGTACGTTATTATCAAAGCATATGATCTATCTATATCTATACAATGAAAATAATGATGATGATGTTATTATTGTTACTGATGTTGTTGTTAAAATAAGATTTATTTTTCTTCCATTACATCAAGAAGAGTGTTTGACATATGCCCCTCCATAACGAAAATAAGGTAGCAATCGTCACCTCACATGTCAGACAAGTGGACCCAACATTCAACTCTGGCAATAGGAGCACATCATATTTGCAATAGGTCTCTCCTCCATCCTAACGGGCCCTTACCCAATGTACAACTTTAGACCCCTTATGATCTCTCACCTGGTGTACAATTTATATATAGTACTACTTAAAAGAGTACATGTACTAAAGTGGGATCCGGTTATCTTTAACAAAATCATGGGGCTCAACAACTTTGGATAATGTGTCCTCAGTAGCTACCTTGTTGTGGCTTGCTCTATGTCGTTATATTGGTCCTCGGTACCCTCACTGCAAGAAAAAATTCCCAAATGACATGAGGACCAAGTAGGCTTAGAGGTCCAAACTAGACAAGGTACCTCATTTACTTGGTGGACAAGTCATAGCAAAATGTACTTAACTAGGCATCTCTGTTTAATTCCATGCAAAGCAAACAACATACTCCTTGAAAAGCGTGATTAGTTCAACTTTGTAATCGACTTTTAACTTCTGGTTTATAAACATCGGCCTAGGCACTAAGCCATCCCTAACATCAACTTTTTTCAATGGATCAGCCCATGTGAAACCTTGGCCCAACTTATTGAGCTCATCAAAATCATCAATAGCCTCACAGACATCAGTCTTAGAAGCCCGATACTACTCAAGATGATGTTTGAACCATTCCAAATTAGCATCCATTAATGATTACATGATGACATTGTGCCGATTATCAATTGGCTTCAAGGAAACAGGTACAAACCCTCTCTAGTGACACTAATAAGTGAAAATCAGGAAGGTCAGGACCAATCAAGCAGGCAACGTCATTATGTCCCTCGAGTGAATGAGCATCAGCCGTGGCAATGTCATTATACCCTCCGAGTGAAGGAGCATCTGCATGGACAATTTCAATATCGTCCCCAACCCACTAGATAAGGAACTAGTGCAAGCTAGAAGGTACACACTTATTGGCATGGATCCAATTACGCCCAAGTATCAAGTTATAGCTACCTTGCACCTCCACAACGAAAAAGGTTGTGGCCAAAGTTTTGCTTCCAACACTATTAGGAATATCCACTTCTATGACAAATAGCTTTGGTCACTGAAGAAGCCAAATTCGTCATAATTTTAGTTCTATGATGAATTTATGATGAAAAACGGTTCGTCATAAAAGTCATGTCATACTTGAACTTTTATGATGATTTTCGCAAATTGTCATAGAAGTGGCTTGATCTGTGACAAAAACAAAACGTCATAGAACTGTTTTGGCATGCGTGGCACGAGGCTGCCACACCGGTGGGTGCTTCCGTTGGAGATGCTTTTCACATGTACATGCTATAGCCGGTTGCATTGGAGATGGTTTAGGTATGTGTCATCTTCTTGTTGCACAACGTGTCCATCTCTGGTTCTTGCACATTTCATGTTCTTACTGGACCACGTGTCGGGTTTCTGTTGTTCCACATGTCAGTTTTTTATGGGCACACGTGTCGTGTTGTGGTTGGATCATGTGTTACTTCTTCATTGGACCATGTGTTGTATTTTTATTGGTCCATGTGGCTGTTTCTTATTCGACCACGCATCACGGCACTGTTTGTCCATGTTTTGCATTTTTATTCGGCCACGTGGCTTGATGATATACTTCCACGTGGCATATTTTTAATAGCCCACGTATTGTGCTCTGGCTATTTCATGTGTCATGCGTTGGTTCCTCCACGTGTCGCTGTTCTGGTTCTATCACGTGGAGTACAATCAATTCGTCATAGAAGTAATTTGAGATCATCACTACTACACAGATTGACTACATAACAATTCAGCCTAGCAATCAAATAACCATAGTTAACATTTCACATGTCAATAGTGAATCACTGACAGAGTATCACAATATCAAACCATCACATGCGTTCACACAACAGACCACAAATGTTCACCGCATCAAGCCGCAGGAGTTGAAGACTGAGAGTTAATTATCAGGAGAGCTTAAGCGCAAGACTAGCTCACAGAGCCTATTGTACTCCTCCTGTTGTTGTTGCTTGAATTCCTCAAGCTCCCTTTCAGCCTTTTCTGTCCTCACCTTTGGTTCATCCACTAATTCGACGAGCTCAGATGTACTTTCCTGTTCACCAACAAGCTACTCCCGAAGTGTCATCTCCGCCGATGTCTTCGCTCTGGTGGAGCTTCTTAGGATACCAGCATTCTTCAAAAAAAAGGTTTTTGCTGCTTGCCTGGGAGGGGCGCTTGCCCTGGTAGAGGCAGAGGACCTTGGAAACAACATCAACACTAGTCATTGGTTGCTGCCCATCAGCAACAGGTTCTGCTTGCATAGTTTCCATAGCTTCCTATGAAATTCAATCAGTAAAACATTAGGTTACAGATAGTGGAAGAGGACTTCAATTGAAAACCCAAGAGATTAATTCATAACAAGTAATGCATAGGGCTTCCACAGATGACTGCTGATAGAGATTACATAAGCACAATGCATAGGTCTTTTGTAGCCTACTGGCGATAGAGATTACATAAGCACAATATATAGGTACCATATTGATTGGTGTAAAATTACAACTACAAAATTAAATGATGTTGCCACAATAGGCTCCTACTCGTTTCCTTCTTTTATGGCAATGGGTTCACTAGATTTCAAGGAAAGCAAATGAAGGTACTTACAACTATTGCTCTTGCCGCATCGCTTAGGCCCCTTTTTCGTACTAGTATGAAAGTCCTTGAAGACATCCACATCATTAATATCTTCATCAGGTCGACCATGTTGTTCAAGTCCTAGATCATCATGTTATTCATCAAGTCCTTGATCGTGTTCTGCGGCCTTCCTCTTGTAATCCTTCTGTTCACATTGCACATGAGTTTCTATTTATATATATACAAAGACAAGAGTAACAATAAAATACAACTATCACTTACAAATGTTTGTAGCTGGACAACATAGGAGCGAGATCCTGTAGACTGGTGGTACTTCACTTTTGCACGGTTTTGCTTGTTTGTCTTAGATGTTTCCTATAGCTTCATTTGTGTTAAACTACAACACTCGTAGACCATAGCAAGACTAGATAGGAAATCAATGGGTTCACACACTCCTTGTTCTTAGCACTAGACCAAGTCTCGACAAGTTCACACCACTATGCATGACTCATGCACGGGACAGGAGAGGTCGTACGGATCTAATTAGCAGGGACGCCATTGAAGTAGGTTTGCTTCAACCTGTAGCGTGCCTGTCATACCCCACTCTGCAATACATTCTAGCAAGCTTCTTGTGTTGGTGGGTGAGCCTTGTCAATGTCCAGCCTTGACTGCACGTAGTAGTGTGAATGAAAAGTAAATCCATTAAAGTTGCTCAAAGCAGAGTTGAATGTCAAGAGAGAATACACATACATATAGTTAGCCTCTCCACAAAGCTTCCTATAATGGACGACACCGAAGGGCTTCTTGTAATGTTTCCAATGTGTCAAAATTGGTGTTTGATGCCTGACTACTACACCTGCCTCTGAAGCAAACTTGGCAGCTTGCCCTAGATCATGTGGCCTTCTATTCCCCTCGGCAACAGAGATGGGTATCCTCAATTCTCCCATTGATTTGGTCATTTTGTCAAGAAAAATTCCATAAGTTCAAGGACTCAGCTTCCTCGCACTTCTCGGCAATGGTACTACAAAGTTTTCATACATTCAGAGTATTAGAAAGTAACATGGATATCAAATAGCTAGTGTGAATTGATTGATAGACATCTGTAGGGTAATACCAACCTAGGCAACTTTCATTGTTCTGTGGGTGGGTGGAGATGGGAGTTTGCTCAAAGGGCTCCTCTTCGGCATGGCTATCATCATCTAGACGTGGGTAGTCTCTCACAGGGCTAGGTAGCTCAGAGGGTGTTGACAGTCACTAAATGCCTATTTTGACCATCAACATTCCACAACATTGCACCAAAAATGGGTCTATACAACACCATAAGTAGTGTCTTATGTTTATAATTCACATATTTCCACTTGTACTTGGAGATCTTTGCTCATGCAGGAAAACTATGCAAAAATATCAAAAATCAAGCAACTAGACGCAATTGGAGCAAGGTGGGCCACCATGGGCCACTTGGTGGCGCCGCCCAGTGTGGCACTTCAAGTGCCACCTCACTAATCTATGGGAAATGGCCAAGAAACACATCCCCAAGACTTCTCTACCATTGATTCCAAGTTGGTGCATGATGAAGGGCTAAAAAGAGGCATCACATGGATTAATGACTCACAATCTGTTATGTCAGGTGCTCGATTAGACAAATGGTGCTCATACCCACACTCTCCTACACCCCAAGGGGCCTCACACCAAAGGAGGAGGGCCCACTCCATAGTGGCACTCCGGCCGATGCCATACCTATGCTGTCCAGCGCCCCACTTTCACTCCACCGCCTCTCCTTTAGACACATGCAAGGAAACACACTTGGGAGCAATCCTATGCGTTAGTTTATGGCAATTCATTGGCTGTTTGATCCAAGGGCAAGGAGAGGATGTCACACAGATTGCTGACATGGCAATGGAGTAGCCCCTACTCCACCTTAGGCTATAAATAGGACCTTCACCCCTCACTTGTAACACACACCTACACATCCAAGAGATGTAGTTCTCTCTCTACTCTCTCAGGATGTAGCTCTTCTAGTAGTAGCTAGTCTTGGTGGGAGCTCTGGAGCAGTCTTCAGGGGTTTGGTATAGCTCTATCTTTCTTTTGTAAGTACTTTATTTATTAGTATGTTACTTTCTATGCAAGTATTGTTTCAAGTCTTTTACTTTATGTACTAGTCTTGTTCTCTAGTTATACTTTGGTTATCCTTATAATTCCTATGATAATTGGGCTCTTAGTAGCATGGGTTGTTCATCACTAGTTGATGCTCTAG